AGAACGGGTACTACTTGTGAAACGTGCATTTTTCAGCAACGTTGAGAATGGCATTTTGTGAAAAAAAAAGTGCTAACATGCACTTCGAAATGCAATCACAAACTGCTTTCATTTGGCAAAAAAAAAAAAAAAAAAAAAAAAAAACTGCTTTCGTGCAGTGCCTGCTCTTATCAGCACCCCTAGCACCAACTCGGCCAGTTGTCAACTAAACAAAATAATAACAAATTAACTTTAATGAAGTTAAAATAAAATAAAATAAAATAAAAACTGCTTTCGTGACTGTGCTGCAGTTACCTCAAAAAAAGAAAGTATTTGGGCTTCGTGTTGTGTGACTGCGCAAGGCAACATTTTGGCAATTGTCAGAAAGTCCCGCTGCTCTCTTTTGTGCTTTGATACCGCTCTGTGACTGGGCAGGGCGGCATTTCAGCAAAATCGGGATTGCATAATTCACAGATTCGGCGATGTGAGTATGCCCCCTTATAGACCTTGGACTTGTAGGGCTCATTATCTACGGTCAAGCAGCTTCCCGCAAATTTTGCAGCTTTTGCGCCTCTCTGCATTACTCTCCAAATGTGCAAAATGAGAATGGATCTTCTGCTAGAAAGTGCAACAGTGGAAAGATACACTGCCATATTTTCTCTGCTGTGCACGTGCAGAGTCGTGCATGCATCCGCAGAGTAGTGCAGCAAGGCCCTTTGAGTACTAAGGGGTATCTCGCCAGAATCCAGAAACGTGAAAAGCAGATCAACAGTCAAAGTTTTCTGACTAAGGACATCTGAATTTAAGCTAAGAAACACATCTGTTAAAGATCAAAAGTCGCATCTCAAAAAGAAAGAAAAGTCTTATGGAAAGGCATGCTGGAAACTGTCTGAAGGGGTGTGTCAAAGGGCTGTGCAGATAGTGCCTGTTCGTGCAATATAAAGTGTCTATTCGAATAGGTTGTGTGTCTGTTCGTCAATTTGTTGTGTCTGTTCGAAAGTCAAGATAACTGTAAAGTCCCAATACTAAATTAAGTTCTGTAGGCAGTCCAGATCCAGTCCTTCTGTCCGAAATACAGGCTGAATGCCAAAAAGCAGCAGTACCTTTCTGGGATATCACTGGGACACATGCAATGCAGGGCCTGGGACAGGGCCGAAGTGCCAATTCAGATGYTGAACGTGGAATCCAGCACTATAAAGGAGGCTGCTCGCCTCATTTGTGGCAGATTCCTCACTGGCATGGAAGTGCTGGCCACTTGTGTGCTATTTGGTGGGAGGAGGAGGATGCGCTGGAGCTGGAAGTGGTGCTGAAGGCAGAGGTTGGGCGCTGGTGCAGGATGATGCAGCCTTAGCTGCCTGGCCAGGATGCTAGTAGTAGGAGCAGCCATAGCTGCCTAGCACAGACTAGAAGAGGAAGACCCCTGAGATGCATTCAGAGTAGGTCTTTGAGAGAGAAGAGAGAGTGATCATGCATACGAGAGAGAAAGGAATTACATCAGAAGGTGTTCAAGAGCTTTGGGCTATGGAAGATACTTACCTGGACCGAGACGTGATCTCCAGAGGCAGCGCTGTAGTGTACATGCTGTCTTGATGCATTAGGGAATGAATATGTGATGAGCTGGGAGTGCGTCGGAGTTCAGGGAACATTGGCATTTTTTGTAAACATAATTTTGATAATATAAGCTGCGTCATGCAGTATTCTTCTCTCCTACCCTTGTCTAAGAGTGATGGCTACAGTTCTTTCAGAGTGACGAAGTTGCATGATCTATACATTTTGGCGTGAGATGGTCCACAGGACCCATGCATATATATATATATATATAGAACTGCCCGGTAAACCGTAGGCAGAGAGGGAGAAGTATATATATATGTTTGCCACAGCCCCTCGTTTGTTGTCCTCTTCTCCCTCTCTGCCTACGGTTTACCGGGCATCTCTGTTTGACTATATATATATATATATATATATATATGTGTGTATATATATATATATATATATATAATGGTCCCATGGACCACAGATCAGATCTCAAACTGATCAGAACAGATACTATACTTCATCGTAGCCAAAAGTTCGAGAAAGGTATGCTAGCTCCAAGTCAATAACCCAAAAAAGCAGGATTGAACTCCTTCAGGACATCGGTTAATTTTTTTTATTTTTATTTTTTTTAGAAAGGCCGACGGTCTTTAGATATCATCATTGAGCTGACCGGCCCCAGACAATTCAGAAATATCTGGTTTTATACTTTTAGAACCATGATCTGGATTGGAACTCTAGTCTGTATTTCCAACAGTTCATGGGTGTGCCCACTGGTCTAGGCTCTTGGGTACATCCGTTAAAATTGGAATGATACAGAGAAGCGCAAGGATGACACGCAGAAGCCGAGAAATGGGTTTTTTAGGGGTAACTTTGGCGCAGTCACGAAAACAGCTTGTAATTGCATTCGAAACTGCGTTTTAGCAGTTTAGTCAGGCCCCGAGTTTCAATTGCAGTTGAAACTCGGCCGTATGCAGTTCAGTCAGGGCCCTCTTCTATCCACGAACAGCAGATTAAAAAAAAAAAAAAAAAAACATCCCTTATGCTGTGATTGCAGTCTGATACAGGATGCTACAGTGCTTGCTGAAGCCAGGCAGTAAACTGCCTGGCGTGGAATCCTCCCTGCCTGGCTGGCAGGGCGCTACAAGGACCTCACAACAAGAAACAGAAAAAGGAAAACGACCTGTTTCATGTTCCTCACATCCTGGCCAGATACATTCCTCAAAGCACTGGYGACCTGAGGGCCTTCCCGAGGTAGGTGGATTCGAAGTTCCTCGTTTCTTTACTTTTTTATTTCTTCTTTTTCTTTTTTCTTTTTTTGGCCTCCATCCCTGCCCCGAGCCCCCCGCTTCTTCGGAGTAGGCTACTCTTGAGACTTCGCGTTTGCCTGTGAAGGGTAGTGCCTGCGAATCTCGGCTGTGGCCGAGACATCTCGGCCCTGGTTAATCTGGGGTGTGGCGGAGACATCTCGGCCGTGGCCAGTCTGGGGTGTGGCCTGTCTCTTATACACATCTAGATGTGTATAAGAGACAGGTATATGTGGCTGCATTTACGGTAGAAAACCTGGATATATGAGACTGCAATTACCTCCACGAACAAGTAGAAAAACTGTAGTGTGCGTAGGCCAACGCAACACGAACCATGGAATCAGATGAGCACGATGAAAAAAAAAACAGAAAGAAAGAAACGGCCATGTGCCTGACTGAACTGCTAGAAAAACCCAGCCCGAGTTTCAAACTGCCAAAACGCAGTTTCAACTGCAATTACAAACTGTAACCCTGACTGCGCTGTAGTTTTCTCAAAAAAAAAAACAAAAAAAACTGGGCTAATGAACAATCCCCGAGAACTTTCCCGCTGCTTGACTTGCAGCCTCTGCTATAAAGTTTCAGGCCCCTGAGTTAGCTCCAGTGCAATACCGTTATATAACTTTCTTTCCCGCTCCGCTCCGTACGGTACAGGCGGGGCTTGCACCATCTGCTGCTGGGTTGGGTACACCAACTGACGTTCATAGACACAAAAGACGGACATCGGGAGGGGGTGGGGAGGTGGGGGGGAAGAAAGAAGGGACGATCTGCCCTCTCCGTTCCCTCAGCTGTGCGGATATATTACAAGGCTGCGATCTGCGGGTTGGGAATGGCACAAAAAAATGATTATGCCAAAGAGAAAAAGAAAAAGACAAAAATTTCATTGAAAAATAATATCAAATGCGGATTTTTTTTTATTTTTTTTTTTTTCGGGAAAAGGCTGAGAATTCCATTATCAAAGCACAAAAGAACTTTGAGGCCGGGAATCTTCAACAAACAACCCGGGGCCTGATCCCATTAGCAAAAGAGGATTCTATTTGATTCCTGAATCTGTACGTGTTTTTTTGTGGAGAGATGCGGAAAATTGAGATCGATCAGCTTTTCTGCATCTGTGCACCAAACACATCCACATTCCCGACTTAAATCTAATCCTCTTTGCTAAGGGGACCAGGCCCCCGGTGTGAACAGGCCACTGGGCTCTTACCCAACTTCAGTTTAACCGTTCAGTAGGGGCAGCTTAGTAGAGGCTAGCTGTACTGTTCTATAATCAATCATAGAGCCCTCTGCTCTTCTCTACCTATCAAACCCTACATTCTACTTATTAATTCCGATGGTCAAGTCTAACACCACTTGATTAACCCAGTAGACCCAAAATGAATACCTACCAACCACCAAGCCAACCGAGAGAAGAGGACCCAACTGAAGGGAGGAGAAAGCAACAGCAAACAGGACCCAAAGTCCTGTGAAAAAAAAACATATTCTTAACAGATTGGAATGCGGATTTGGCAAGGGCCGATTTGAGGTTTTGGGCATGGTTCACATCGCACTGCTGTACCTTTTCAGATGGGACAAGGTCGCAGCCGTCTGGAGCAATGGCGATTTGGTACTTCGCTGGTCACACGGCACCATCCACAAATTGTGCAAAAACTTTCGTCAACGAATTTTCACCAATTCTCAAAGAAAATGCGAAAAAATTCCCTTCTGCCCCAAGAAAATGCGAAAAAGTTCCCTTGCCCCAAGAAAATGCGGAAAAATTCCCTTGACCCCTAGGCTACCAGCCGGGCCGCCCGGGCCCCGTGTGGCCAGCCTGTGCAAGGACAAGGGAAAGTCCCACCGAAGAAAAAAAAAAAAAAAAACTATGTTTTGCAGAAAAATAAACTGAACAACTTATGTCATGTTCGGCAAACAACTTCAACAGGTAGATTGGAAGTTCATTCATAAGTTATGTCAGGTGGGCAATCAAGTCAGCGGGGTGTGCTTTTTTTTTTCCTGCATGTGCTGAGAGATGATAGATTTAAGGCTCAACAATCATAGGCAAAGTCAAGTAGACAAACAAGGTAGCACCAGCTATGGACTGATCTTCTTGCTTGGTGGATCTCTGATCTCAGTACAAACTCTCAGCAGCTTATTGCCTGATTAATGTCAGCTTACGGCCATTCCTGTCAAAGCAATAATTCAGGAAACCGTCGACAACTGTTCTCGTTGAGCATAGCACTCATTCGCAAGGTGGGGTGCCGTCACAATGCACGACGCGCGCGAAGTCGGGCAAGCAGCAGAGCGGCCGCCGATGTCATCGTACGGGTGCGGGGGCAGCCGTGGCGTGCTGCCGTCATCCTCAGCTGCGGTGCGCTCAGCTCTTCCTCGCAGCGGTCCTGCAGGAAGGGTGACGACAGCGACTACGGCGGAGTCCACCCAGGTGATAGAGAGGATCATAGCGCGGTACTCAAGGATGCACACCGACGTTCAAGCTGTTGACGGAGGTGACGAGGACGCGGAAGAGGAGGATGTACCAGAGGAGGGCTTAATGGACGACGAGGACGAAAGCAAGGAGGATGATGACGCTGCGGTGAAGGAGGTCACACAAAAGACCGCGAAGAAGACGACGAAGAGTCGTCGGAAGTCCAAGGCGGGAGATGGAGGCCCCGGTGATGGCGAGGAGGGGGGGGGAAGAAACGCGAAGAACTGGGGTTTGGACGATTCGCTCGTCCTGGTCCGTTGCAAAAGGGACCAGGACGATTACATGTCAGGCCAGGGGAGCAACTTCGCGCGAATGAAGACGAAGACTTGGAAATGGAACGACATAGCGAAGTGAATGGCCCAACAAGGGGTTACGAATAGAGATGGAGAGTCGTGCATGAAAAGGTGGGAGAACATCTTCGGGTGGTACATGAAAGTCTGGGACAGGGAGACAGATTCCGGCCTGCAGTCTTTTTTCCTCTTGACAGCGAAGAAACGGAAACAGTTGGGGTATAAGTTCACGATGGGTCGGCAGCTGTACGACGCTATTCACGCGACGACGCCGAACAATCAGGCCATACACCCACCTAATCTGCATGACACCGGTGGACTTCCTCCCCAACAATCGAATGACAGATAGGAGAGCCAAGCAAGAGGTCCGACGGCAGCCGGGGAAACTTCCACGAGCGATAATATGGAGAAGGAAACGGGGGATGGGTATGGCAGCAGGTCTTCGGGGGGCATGCCTTCGGGGAAGCGGAAGACTGCGAGGCAGCTGGCCTTCGATGCTGTGACGGACGTGATGAACACAAATTCAACGGTCGTGGCGGATTCAGTGGATCGCGCTAGCAGGCGTCAATGCGAAGTGCTGCAACGACAATGTGACATCATGGAAAGGGAGGCGGCAACGCAGGAGAAACAATGTGAAGTGCTAGACGCTGGTCAGCGCATGCTATGCGATGCTTTGCTGAAGATAGCTTCTGTGTTGTGTCGGACCTGATTGCGATTGACACGGTGGAGTGTGGAAGGGACAGCGACCCAGCACAGGCCTGCCCAGATCACAACCACCGATCCACGTCCTTTCACCCCGCGACAAAACTGCACTTCATCTTTCC